ATTGCTAAAAGTTGCATATAGATGGCGTGATTGGTATCGATGGAATTCTTCATAGTTTTGCAAACGTTTTAAAAAACAAAACTGTGTTTTCAAAATAGTTTAATCCATTTTTAAAAAAATATATATACATGTTAAAATGAAATAATGCGTTTAGAAAAGTAATTTTCATATATTTACTCATTTTGTTATTTTCCAGTACTTAATTACACTTTAATCAGTGCTAATACGGGGCTCAATGTTTTCAAAATGCTTTCATAGATGGCATTGTTGTCATTTGTATCGGCCTAATTAAATGTCTTTTTTATATTTTCCAATAATAAGCACTTAATATATTATTATTGTAAATTAAACATATAAAAAAAGTTTAAGTAAATTAAAAATAGCCGAACAAGCAAATAATACTATTTCCAATAATACTTATGTATGAAGTGTTGTCATATTAAAAATAAATACATGTATTATCGATTTTTTTTAATAATCGATAACAGGATTTTATTACAGCGCATTATTCGATGATGCTTTTAATGAGTCGTTGTGAACAGTAAATTTTCATTATTTTGTATTAAGTATAGCAGTATTCCGTTTCAAAGAACGGAATATAGTAGTACATTATTAGTGTCGTTGGTTATTTACATTTGTACTGAAAAATCGATTACATAATAATTTAAAATATCGAGTACGAATCGTAGCTGTCTTCGAATACTGGCAACTGGTAAGATTAAAATAGTTTTAAAAAAAGAGAGAAATCGACCCTAACTCGAATACCATAAAGTTTATTTTCCTTTCTCATTAATATCATAGCAGTTTGTTTTTAACTTGCGTATGACTCTGTGGTATGATGTTTAACGTGTATTGTTATTGTACGGTGCATACATTTCAAAAATTATATTTTAATGTAGGTACAAACATTTCTTTCATACATTTCATACATGTCAAAAATTATCTTTTAATGTAGGTACATACATTTCTTTCATACATTTCATACATGTCAAAAATATCTTTTAATGTAGGTACATACATTTATTTCATACATTTCATACATTTCAAAAATGAACTTTTTATGTAGGTACATACATTGTTTTCATACATCTCATACATTTCAAAAATTATATTTTAATGTACATACATTTCTTTCATACATTTCATACATTTCAAAAATGAACTTTTTATGTAGGTACATACATTTCTTTCATACATCTCATACATTTCAAAAATTATATTTTAATGTAGGTACATACATTACTTTCATACATTTCAAAAATTATATTTTAATGTAGGTACATACATTTCTTTCATACATTTCATACATGTCAAAAATTATCTTTTAATGTAGGTACATACATTTCATACATTTCAAAAATGAACTTTTTATGTAGGTACATACATTGTTTTCATACATCTCATACATTTCAAAAATTATATTTTAATGTAGGTACATACATTTCTTTCATACATTTCATACATTTCAAAAATGAACTTTTTATGTAGGTACATACATTTCTTTCATACATTTCATACATGTCAAAAATTATCTTTTAATGTAGGTCCTTACATTTCATACATTTCAAAAATTTCATACAATACATTTCTTTCATACATTTCAAAAATTATCTTTTAATGTAGGTGCATACATTTAACACATTTCAAAAATTTCATACAATACGTTTCTTTCATACATTTCAAAAAGTATTTTTTAATGTAGGTACATAACACCCCATGTCAGACCCCTTATATTTGGAAGAAACTTAAAAATAATGCCAAAAATATTAGATGAATATATTTTTAATACGAATATTGTTTTATTTTTGTTCATCAACTTTATCCCTCACTAACAATACTAGTAGTAGTACATAACCTGGTTTATACCGCTAAAGATATTGAAAGATATACGAGTAATTCAGAATGTTATCAAGTTCAAAATAAGCACACATTACTTGCTTAGATAACAGAGTAATATTACTAGTAATAAAAACATTTGTAATACCCATATGTATACTACGTATGTATAGTAAGTACTTACGCTGCGGCGCCGTGAGACTCGTCTAAGTACTTCATCTACTCATCTACGCGCGGTAACCGCGCCGACCGACCAATAGGATAGCGCCTCTCGTGTTTCCAGAAAGTTCGCTCCTAACGGACGATATAGTAGTAAGGCAATGAGTGTCCCAGTGATATCATTATAATATTTTCTCGTTAAATTTTATTGTAATATACACAATTTCGCACTAAATAACGTGTTACCCCGTTACACATTTCTAATAATGAAAAACCTAGACCGACCCTGTTCACTTAATCTTACAAGATCTGACTTTAAAAATTACGATATCCCCATATAGCCTTTCATTTCCCCTTTCAATATTTTTTCGCATTAAAAAGTAGCCTTTCTCAGGGTCTACATTATCTGTCTACCAAATTTCAATTAAATCAGTTCAGTAGTTTTGGCGTGAAAGCGAGACAAACAGACAGACTGAGTTACTTTAGCATATATAATATTTGTAAGAATATCGCTATTAAAAATAGGGGTTGGTGAAAGACGGGTGAAAATTTAGGCGTGTATGTATTTTCAATGTAACATTATAAATAAATAAAAAATTGTCCATAATACAAAAAAAATATTTTTCGGGGTAGGCCACCCCTATGACTTAGGGGTATAATAAATAGATAACAACCCTACCTCAGACCTGGGAAGTATACATATCAAATTTCATCAAAATGTGGGAGAAATATGGCAACTAACACTGTGATACAAAATTTATATATAAGATATAGCGGAATTCTCATTAGGTAAAAGAGGGGTACATCGTAGAATACATGAGGTATATACCAGTAAATTAATTGTAGCTAAAATCAGTCTCATACATATAACGATTGAAATAAAAAATCGTATAGCCCGATTTTGATACGTACGAGTATAAACGTATCAAAATCAGGCTATACGTATAGCGCAGACGCGTTACAACATATCAAAAAAAATAGGCATGGAATGTAAAATAAACCATAACACAATAGGTATATACATTGGCACATAAGCCATATCTGCAGAGTGTCGGCTAACGATATTATACCTACACATTTACATTGAATCTTGAATCGTCCCTAATGAGGTACACGATACAGTTACCTACATATCTATTATATACATATCTTTGCAAAACAGATGTCATGTAGACTGAATTCACTGCCATCTATTTTCATGCTTTGTTACTAAGCACCCACTAGTAATCCGAACTGCTTCAGATCTAGCGACATCTAGCGGCTACGGTGGCGAAATAAAATAGCCCGAAGAATAGCCCGAGTTAGGAAGGAACCATTTTCTTGTATGGGATGGGGTATCTGTATGTAATATTATGTTATCTGTGCTATAGGACAATATATTACTAACGTACGTTATCTAGTAATCTACACATACAATAAAAAATTGTCTTTACATGAATGAAATATGAGAAAAATTATTTTTAAGGAACTATATCATAGGCATTAGAACTCAAAACAATTATTGTTAGAATTCTGTTTATGCCTTTGTTCCTGGTAAACTCAGAAACAGCTGATTATTACTTAGAAATTGGTATTTGTATTATTCCAATTGTTATACAAACAAAAAAGTTATACGAGTAATATAAACTGCCCTGCTTATGGGAGAGATACCCTAAATTAATATTTTTGTTTCATTAAAGTGTTAGAAAATTTAAATTAAAAGGAACATTCATATTTAAATCTAAAATTCTTAACAGAGCCATCTGATAATGGATGGAGAAACTGGTTAGCCCTTTGAATGAGTTCTTTATTATATTTATGGTGCAACAGTGTAGATGGCGCTATTTACAGTCAAATGGATTTGAAATATATGTTCTTAAGGATTGGCACAAGGAAGACAGACAGAAAAAAATAGGGTACTAAATGTTATTGTTCGTTTTTATTTTAATTACAATTTCTTAGCTTAACTCCTATAATATATACTTCTTTATATTCACACAACGCCATCTAGTGCAACAATTGTGATAGCGTTCCTTTTTTTTCTCTTCTTTTGGCTATGATATTTCCTTAGAAAGTAATATTCTATTACTACCTAGACTAGCTGTTATTTCTAATAACATTAGCTATCTGCGAGTGAGTCCCGTAAAATAATTTCAGAGATTAGGAAGAGTAAACAAAAACAAAATTTTCATTTTTGTAATACCTTATATACTGTCATTCTTTTGCATATACATTCTAAATAAATTCCAATGCTTGATGCTCACTGCATTTGCCCTAAACCTAAGCCTTAAATATGTAGTAAGTGTACTATAACGATATAGTTATAGAAATCAAAGAAATAGACTATGAGTTTGTACCTACACTTGTAATATTTCTGTCGACACTTGAGACCCTTCCAATTAGTTTACGTCTCCACTGACATACGATTTAAATTAAGTGTAAAATCACTCTACGTCCCGACTCCGCGTCGACTGGACGCGTTAATAAACCATGTAGCACACTACCAATAAACTTAATAATGTCTAATAAATAGTACAATCATTTTACCGGTATACTCACTACCTACATAATACAATAATATATTATGTAGTGCCACCTCATCGCAACATATATAACGCTACAGTGATGAGGATACCACCGCGCTACAAGTTTGAAAAGGGGTCTAAAGTATATTTTTGTTGATTTGAACTTTTTATGTAATTGGATTGGCAAATAGAGCCCACTTAACGGTAAACGGTAACTCGCTCCTATATTAACAGCACTACAGGCGTCGTTATTATGGAACCTGCAATACCAGACAACTTGCATAGAAAGTCGCTTGTCATATGAAATAGGCGAGACTGACATAATCATGCAAAAGACCTTTTAGTCTATCACAGGTAAAATAATTTACCTTGGACATGCAAAGATAATGACACTGTCATTAAATAACATGGAAATTAATAAGAAGCAACACAAATTTATAATTTATTTATTTTAACAGTCATTCTATTCTATGACCATTAACACATGTTGAACTAATAGCTAAATTGAATTGTTCTTAGTTTGTATTCACTAAACATGTTTGTGTGATGTTTAACCAACATATATACATATATATGTATGTATATATATACACATAGGAATTGATTTTAGTAACACATACCATTATGCAAATAGTAGTAGTATACTGGGATAAAATATATTTTTAACATTTACAGTATGAGATTTTATATTAAGTAATGTTATTACAAAGGATTCAAAATCCATATGAATATACACAGTTCTAACTGTAATAGGCATATTACACATATATTTAATGTATGCATTAATATAAACAAAACATACGCAAAAATAAATAACTGATTTTCTATTGGTATAACAAATGTATTAGCATATTGACTTGTATAATAAAACTTAGTAATTATTTTAGATTGAGGTTTTCCCTCTATTTAGAGGAGGTGATATGAATAAGTAAATATATTATTATGTTACTTGTTTTAATCTACAAGAGATTAAAGTTCATCAAACCCCGTGGCCCTATAATAGTACAAAAATATTCCTATTTGGGGTAAAACTTATTTCTTGTAATGCAGCATCAACAATTGTTCTGGAGGTTTTCACAATATATAATTACTAATATTTATTCCAAGGTACATTGTCAATAGCATGTTTCTTTAATTTGTGTTTCTTCAAGTATTTAGAATCTATAAAAGCTTCACCACACAATGTGCAGACATATGGACGTTCACCTGTATGTGTTCTCAAATGTACAACTAAATTTCCTTTCAATGCAAAGAACTTCATACAGACTGAACAACCAAACTTTTTCTCTCTTGTATGAGTGAGTTGGTGTGTACGTAGATGTGTTTTAGTTTTAAACCTTAGAGAGCACAGTTGGCAAGGGAATGGTCTCTCATTTGTGTGCACACGCTCATGCATTATCAACATTGCCTGACTAGAACAACCCTTCCCACACATTGTGCATTCAAATCTCTTTACACTCTTCAACTTCATGTTCTTATGACTTAGGATATGTGTTTGCATATCCTTTTTCGAAGGCAATACTTCTCCACATTCAGAGCAAAGCAACTCAGTTGGATCCACTATGTGTGAGCTTTCAATATGTTGCTCCAAAGCTGATTCGACAGAGAACATTTTCTTGCACAGAGAACAAGCATAGCCCAATAACTTTCCAAGATTAGTAGTGATTTCTTGTTTCACAGTTTTCATTAATTCCTGCTTTACTTTTGTCACTTTGGACTTTGTGCAGTCTTCAGAATCCTTATGATCTGTCAACTCCGTCTTATTGTTGAATATTAGATCACATTGATTGCATGAAAATGGATTCAAATGTGTCATTCTATGTGTCTGCATTGTGATTTTTTGGTGGAACCTTTTATAACATATGTCACATTCAAATTCTCTTACCCCTTTGTGTATCATCATGTGACGTTTCAAGTTATTGGGGTTTGCAAATGTTTTAAAGCACAAATCACATCGTGGCTTGATATTATTGTGACCATATTTAATATGTTGTGTTAAAGTATTCCTTCTAACAACTTGGTTACAAAATGGACATGTTATTAGAAGACCTGTGAAACTGTGCAGCAGTATATGGCCAGTTAAAATCTCCGCAGATTCAAAGCCTTTTCCGCACAAATTACAGAGGTGTTCTCCTGCTGGGTTATGTTTATATTGATGTTTTTCATATTCAGCTAAATCATCAAACTGCTCACCACAATCACATACAAATGTTCCATCGTCTTGTTGCAAAACTGTTGCTACCTGACCACCATCAGAGTATTCAATGACTAATTCTGTGCCATCACACTTTATTATCTGATATTGGGTATTATCATCTTCACAATAAATCACTTGCTCTTCATCTAATCTGTCATTATTTGCTATGAGTTCATTATTGGTTAAATATTGAATGCTTTCATTATTTTTTAATATTATAGTTCCATCTGAAGATGAACTTGTTAATATTTTAATGATACTTTTTGATGTGGGTAAGGAGCCTACAATATTGTTAGATATATTTTCTTCATCTATTTCATTATCTTCTGTCACCATGCCTGGTATTTCATCTTGTGAGGCACTATCCTGTGTTTCCTCCATTTCCATTGGATGTGTATAACTTTCATAATTTTCTTGACTCTCTTCTTCATTTTCGAGTATTGTTGCAGGTACATTAATAGGCACTTTAGTGTTAGATACTAAAAAGGAGTCAATTGAATCAAGACCTTTAAATGTGTTAGAAGGTTCTGGAATTTCTTTGATTGGTTCATTTAATATTTGTTGTATTTCTTCTAGAGGTGATTGCATTTCCTCTGCATTCTCTAGTTTAATATTTGCAAGTAGTGTGGAAGATTCCAGTTCTTTTTCATCATCTTTTTCCTTGGGATCATCAATCACAAGCACATAGTAATAATCATCATCACTATCTACAGGTTCCTTTTTTATTATAGACTCCAATTGTTTTATAGGATCATCAGCTATATCATCACCATCCAAGCTTTGATTTTTCACACTATTGGTGTCGTCAGTGTAGTTTTCACTGAGTATTGCATTCAATTGCAATTTCAATTCACTATCCATCTTAATACACTGCCTACGGAATTGATATGCTGAATTCATTTTCGTATAACATTCAAAGCATAGTTTTTGTGGCAAGCCATCATCGTGTTTCACCTGTAATATTTTTTATAAATACATGTTAATATTTGTTATTAGAGCAAGAAGTACAACATTAACAAAATATATTGCAAATTAATTTAAAAGCCTGACCCACCCTAAAATTCTGTCTTCGAATCCCCCCCAAGCCCTTTTAGGCCAGAAGAAAAACTGATTTGCTCACCCAAGCACAAGATTCAAAATTATATAGGTCATTGCATGCACATCATATTTTTTATCACTATCCATACCATCCAGTTCGGCTAGCCACTTCAGTTGAGAAGAATCAACTGTAACCAACTGGTACATTTTTTATGTTTATATTATTTAAATTTAGTCAATCTTGAAACATTATATTGTGATATAGTAATTGCAAATCAGCACATATAGATTGTGCCAGATAAGTCACTTTACCAAAGACATGTAAGTGACGCAGTGGGTAATATTCTTAGTAATTAGTTAGAGAATAATCACAATGTGGCACCTCTCTCATAGAAATTATATTCACAAATAAGTACAGAAATTCCAATGAGGAACCTATTGGAATTTTTGAACTTATTAGTGATACTCTTTAGTCATATATTTGTTTATAGATATTTACAAAATATAACTCATCATACTTATCCAACTTTAATATAATATTTGTATTATTTAAATTATCTATTATAGTAAACCGAACTGCTGCAAAATGAGACTTGATATATTGAATAGATTTTTTAATACTATATAATATATTAAAATATATAATATAATAATATATTAAAATAATGACACATGAATTAGTTATTATTAACGATTACATCCGTCAAAACACCAGAAAATTATTGACAAGAAATAAATGATGTAACATTTTTATAGGTTATAAACAATAAAACTCTTCCTCGAAATACAAATTAAAAAGATTAATTGAACATAAGATGTGAATAAATATTTAAGGTTAGAATTGTTAAATAAATTTAAGTCATCACAAAATAACACTATTTAAAGTAAGTATAGAAACAATTACCACAACTGTAGTTACTTCATGAAATTTCTCCGTCACGTTTTTCTCATCGAATAATGACACTTCAGAATCTGGCGATAAGCAGCATCGGCACAAATTCGACCACGTATCCATTTTGCATTCTTACATAAATAAATATTATGCCAGGAAAAGCTGGAATTAATAAATAAATGATAATTTGAATACATTGTTTTGCTTTGACAGACGATAAGTAATCAGAGAGCACACTAAAGTAGGTATGTAATCCAAAGAGTAAAAATTATCTACGGACCTTGTCCATAAAGACGCTCTATCCGAAAATTATAGACAAGAGACGAGCGTTTAAAATGGCGGAACAGAAAACGGAAGTACCTAGAAAACCAATATGGCGGTAAAACTGGCGCCACTATAGACATCCGCTTTCTGTTATTTTTATTCTTTAAATGTAACAGACGTAAGATCACCATAAAACATTTTGTGTATGTTGTGTAAATACATGTAATAAATATTTATATTTGTAAAGACGCACTAAAGTAATTTAAAAATCAAGTAAACATATTGCAGTACTTCAGTGTTACCCTAGAAGAATTTTTTTCGCACTTGTGGGAAAAAAGTTACGTGTGAAAATTGATAACATATCTGTGTAAAATATTATATTATAATGCAAACAATATTGTAAATGAAAAATACAATAAGATACATTTTTTATAGCTTTAAAAGCGGTATATATATTTTTTATAGGAAATGTTTGAATAGATATCTGAGGTACATTAAGTATCTTTTTTGCAAATCAACACTTAGATATGAATTATTTACTCGTACTATTGACAATAATCAAAATGCTCTTGCTTTCCGTTATATATTTATTTCGTAACCACGCCTGTGTAAGTGGGACAACATTCTTTGCCGTATAGGTTTCACTCTAGCATAATTTCATTATTTACTTACTGCCATACAAATATAGACTTTATGATTAATGCATACGGTACAAATTAGGTTAATATTACCCGTTCGTTATTTTTCGTGTTTGCCTCAGATAGTGTATTTTAAAACTATGTCGAAGCTGGCAATGTAATTAATCCTATACAACATACTCGGATTTATGTAGTTTATGGAATTATCAACTTAGTTGAAAATACGTTTGGGCGATAAAAAGTATTTTTCATTATTTTACATTTTGAATCATACCATATTACACCTATAGGTTGTTTGTTGATTTATTTACCGATGTTTATTCATACGCCCATACCGTTGCCATAGTAAGGTGACCATGCAAATTTAGATAATACTTACTTATGTCTTTTTATTTATTGCAAGACTACTGAACCGACATTCTTGGCCACAGCCAATTTGTGTTGCGTAAATAATACATTAAAATGTATGTAACTACTATACATATATATAATAAAATTAAAAGAAAAAAAATTAAATTCCGAATAGAACACACAGCAGCTTTTTTGTATCCGTAATATTTTTGTTACTACGATACATATGACCATTGTATACAACCGATTGAGGATTTTCAAGAATTTGGTCTAATTAGATATATATTTTTTTCCATTTCTAACATACCTTTCACAGCTTGTTATTGGTACAAGATATTTAACATATTTATAACTTACCTTGTTTGAGATGCTTAAATATCAATTTTATGTATACATAAAAAAATTGGAGTGTCTGTTTGTAATATTAAAATAACCGTTTTTTTATAATTAATGTAAATACGATACATACACCAAAAAAACCTGTTTTTACAATTTTTATCTGTCTGTCTGTTTGTTCCGGCTAATCTCTGAAATGGGTGGGCCGATTTTGACAGGACTGTTTTTGACAGGTAGCTGATGTAATAAGGAGTAACTTAGGCTACTTTTATTTTAGAAAAAATGTTTTATTTTAGAAAAATAAAGTAAAATTTCAACCGGACGAAGTCGCGTGTTCAGATAGTCTTCCATTACCTAATAGTTTACTTGACTGATATACTTAAGATATCTATAATCTATCGGTCACCTATTGGCTGAATACTTCTGTCTTAGTACGCCCTGGCCCTGAATTTTAAAAAAAAATGTAACTGGCCGCTTATAAAGTGTGAAATCTTTTAAACAAAAAAGAAGAAAAAATAGCATCATCGCCCGCCTTTTTTTGTTTTTATATGTAATATAAAATATCATAAAGATTAGATATTGTACGCCGCTTCTTATACATTAACTAATTATTTATTAATACCTACGCGCCTCATAGAATAGTTCTGGAAACTTACTCCCTGACGAAGATACCGCCTGTATCGTTTTCCTACAATCCGAGCATCTTCTCTTCGTCTTCTTCTTCGGCGTGCGCATTTTTCTTTAACAGTGCTCTGGATTGGATTGCAGGTTAGTAGATACCGTTACTTTGTGGGTATTTGTTGATACGCAGTCAGGAATTATACAAATTTGTGGAAAATAAAATTTGGCGTTGGCGTCTCAAAAGTCGCGAGAAACTGCTAGTTACTTAATAGTGAATATAGTTTGTTCACTTAATTTTATACTAAAAAGTAAAATATTTTTTTATGTTAATCGGTTTATGGATAATAATGAGTGGAGTGGCACTACCGCTGTGCTTTGGCGGGGTCCAGTGGAGGATCATAGATATAGCTAGAAGTCAGGTCAGTTCGGCCGTTGTGTTGAATTCACTCGTAATTAACCAGTATGATTTTGTAGCGATGTTTCAATGTGATGAGATGTCTCTACATAAATGATTGTTTATTGTAGTATGAATGTAGTGAGTACACATGTGTAATAATCGTACTATTAGTTGCACATTAGTGTAAGAATCACTAGTTATGATGACGACTTAGGCTTTGATGTCGGGTACCAGAAGAGAAACTCAGAGTAGCGCCCGTGACTTGTGACACTGGTGTAAGTTTAAAGGGTCCTTTTAGAATGCATTAACACTCACCTTCACTACTTGTAGTATCCACCCAGTCTCAATTAAGTCCGGGATAAACCCGTCTCTAATACAATTCAGTTTAGTATCCAAACTACAACCGGCATGTTGTACTCGTCGATCGAATGCTATGGCTTACAAAAATTCCCTTCCCTCACACTGAGATTCGTGGGGATTATAGGCAACTAGTTTAACAATACCAACTAAAATGAAACTACCTTCTTTTAATATTTTAAAATAATCGGATTTTTCTCCAATATTGATGTGAACCCTAACATTAGTGTGGTAGTGTGTAGTGTTTGGTAGTGTGCTACATGGCTTATTAGTAACGCGTATCTATATAATGAACGCGGAATGAATGAAGTCGGAACGTAGATTGATTTTACATTCAACTTAAATGTATGTTATCTGGAGAGGTAAACTAATGAGAGTGTCGAGTGTTGACAGAAATATTACAAGTGTTGGTAGGATTTCATTTATACATCCTAGTCTACCACATATGTCCATTACTAATAATCTTTCGTTCCCTACGTCACATGTAATATTTTTACAAAAATCCTGATATATTATTGTCAGAGGTTGTATCTGTTATACTATGCACCTAGAAGTAAACTTTTAATGATGAACAGTTTACAATCGTAGTGTCTTGGAACAAAGCCAAAGTGCCCTCGACGTGGTCGCTGCTATTAAGTAACGAGTAATAAAACTTTATTTATTACTGCTTTATAAACAATGGACACTTTGGAACTCAGTGTACAATTACGACAACATTAATTGATATCTCTTTTATACATTACTTGCCCGTCCGACTTCCGAATTCCCTATTTTCTTTGGAGATTATTTAGTGTTCTAAAAGTAATAATAATGGTAAAAAAAAATATATCGGTCCAGTAGTTTTATAGTTTAAACATAAAGGAATTGAAGGATTGTTATGCGGCTTTTCTTAGTTATAATATGTGTCTGCTCTTTAGTACTCTTTCTTATATTCCATGGTCTTGCCTATTGTTATCGCGCGGCGTTACTCGCGTTATTGTGGTAAACTGTCTGTACCTATGCCAAATTTCCGATCCGTCAATTAGTTTTTGTTTGAAAGATCAACAAACATATATTTATCGTAACAAATTGCTCCTATATAGTTTTGATATATAATCCATCTAAAAAATATATAAGTGGATACCAAAACGCAAAATTACTATAAAATTAATGGCGTTATATAAATTGTGAACTATTCGAGACACGTAGCTTTGACGCAAGTTATAAATAAACATTTAGCGACGTCTGAATAAACCGTCGGCAACAGATATCTATTGCGATGATGGATGGTGCTCCGTTGCCTGAAGCGAGGTTTCAATCAGGGCGCGAAAATGCACCCTCACGCTTAGTGTTCGACCGATACCAGTTTAGTTATACAGCTGGAAAAGAAACGGAATTTCCATTCAGTTTTATTCGAAACCTACTTTTTAAAATAAATGTTATTAGGTACATAAATAGGTATGTATATATAGTGGCACGAGTATATGGTACATAATAAGAACGGTAGGTAAATAGCTACTTACGATTCCGTAAAATGTCTTCCATTTAATTAAATAAATTCATTAAAACATGTATACTTATATAATAAGGAAATAATTGATTCTTTATTTGTTCAGCCTCCGCAATAACTGGACGAATTTTAAAAATGATTTGACTATTAGAATATTACATTATCTCTGATGAAGATAGACTATAAAATATTTCAAAAACGTTAGGGATAATTACGTGTTCAGATTAGGGAATAATACTAAAATATTGTGTACACTGCTAAAGAAACTACAAAAACAGCGGGCTATTATTGTAGTTTCTTTCAGGTTTATAAGTTTTGATAAATGTTCAGAGAATGTACTTTTAAGTATAGCTATCGAACGTGTATTTAATAACGAAAATAATACATTTGAAAATCTGAGGGAAGAAACGAAGTTTCAGACCTTCCTTAAGGATGATGATAGAATGGGGAATTAGCCTGTGCTAATAGTGTATGTTGCTGATGTCGAACTGAATGAAACTGTCTAAAAAGGAAGTCAGATGAACGGAAAGATGGGAAACTTCTAGTTTCTTTGAACGCTCTTTATAAAACAATTTTTTATATGCTAAACTGTACATCAATTGAAGTTAGATGCTAGAAAATAATAAATATCTAAGACATTTAATACCGTTTCGATCAATTGCTCCTTATGTAGGTAATTTGTACCTGCGTCGGTATATTACAACAATGGTTTAATTCGACAAACTCATTTGCATGCAAATTGTGCCTTCCTACTGACGTTTCGCCCACTAACGTTTGATTAGGGTCGAGAGGCTGAAGGGTCCCGAAAGAGAAGACAAGCGACTTTGTCACAGTCTAAAGGGCGGTTGCCACTGTTTTTAGTTCAAATATATAAGTTTTTATATATAACTTCACGTCGGACATGTAC